CCAGCCAAGTCAGACTGTACCCCAGAAATCTAGCATTTTTCCTGCTTAATGCTCTGTATTCCTAGATTCTGGTGGCAGCCTAAACCTTTGGTAACTACTTGGCCCTGCCTTGTTTACTCTGAACTTAATCTTTTAGCTGCCTGCCTTGCAGGTCTGCTGCTTCTAAAATTCTTATTTGTTGGTAAAACGCCAAACAGTAGACACTTCCAAGGAAAACTCAATGAACTATACTTACTAAATTGTTTTTAGCAATCAATTATATTTTAAAAGTTATTTTTAATTGACTGCACAATTAAACTCTATGCTGGAAAAGTACATTATCTCCGTTATCCAGTAAAGACTATGTAAAAGTTGCTAAATGCCTAAGACTTACCATGCAATAAACCAAATCTCCCATCCCTGCATAAATTCCACTGAAACCAGAATGCAGCTGAACAAGAGCAAAAGTATCTTCATAGAAATGCAGGTATGTTACTCTGCAAATTAAACTCAAACAGGGTCACAAACAATTGTAACAAAAAACCCCAAAATTAATTATATCAGCTCTTAAGATTCCACAGGCTAGGGGCTCTTTCTGGTTTTACAGAAAAACAATTTGGAAGCCTAAAGAATTCTGCCCTCTACTGCTGAGTTGAGAAAATCGCCTCAACACAATCGCTTTTGAGAAGGGAAATTATACTCTGGACAAAACACCAGTGAAAGTCAAGTGTGCAAAGTAAACACTTTCTTGGACCCTTGACTCCAGACATCCCAATTTTCTCAACAGTTTAAACACGCACACCCTGGCATTCAAACATCAAACGAAGTAAGTCGAATATCAAAACAGGAAGTTTCTTCTTTTTTTTTTTTTTTTCTCCACTAATCTCCCTGGAGAGCTATCACCCGGGGTGGTCGTATTTTAGCGAGCTCCGAGATCCGAGTGTCTGCGTGCAGTCCCGGTAGGGCTGCCCGGCGCGGAGCTGCCAGGCTCGGGGCAGCACACGGCCCTCCCCGCTGCCCGCGCAGCCGCGGTCACAGTCCGGGCTCCGCGTACGTTGGGGGGTTGGAGAGGGACGTTTACCTGGGGCCGGTCCCCACTAGGTAGGTGTTGGTGCCCTGCAGGGTCATGGGACCCGGGTTACAGCCCAACACACGCACGACTCGATTGGACAGCCGCTCGACGCGCTGCAACACAGCAGCCATTCCCGCCTGAGTCGCCAGCCGGCGCGTCGGCTATCCGGATTCTCCAGCGCCGAGCAAGCCAACAAGCCGGTGACTGCGAGGAGAGTCCACGTGACGCCGGGAGGGAGGGGATTGGCCAGCGGCGGGGCCGGGTGTCATGTGACACCGCGGGCGAGTCTGGGCGGGGATCTGGCGGGAAGGCCGGGGCCGAACCAGACGTCACGTGACACCGCGCGGGCCGCTCGGGCGGTGGTGGGAAGGCTGGCGCGAGTCGGCGTGAGGCGAGGCGGGCGTCTGGCTCTGTCACAGGGGCTGGTTCCTCACGGGTTTGTGTCCTAGGCAGGCGAGTGGATCCAAGTGGGTTAGAGGCATTTTAATTTGGAAGAGTCTTGTGATGGTGCAAAGGGCAGACATTTTTGGTAACGGTTACTCAATAATCCTAGGAAGGATTGCCAGTCAGATTTTTAGGCAGTAGCTGTGTGTGTGTGTGTGTGTGTGTGTGTGTGTGTGTGTGTGTGTGTGTATTTTTAGGCAGTAGCTCTGTGTGTGTGTGTGTGTGTGTGTGTGGTAGTAGCCTGTTCATCTTTTATAATAAACAGCAGTAACACATATTTACTTCCTACTTCCTACTATGCCTAAGTGCTTTCTACAAACATCCCACTTAACTCATTTTATCCTCAAAATATTGTTAAGAGGTGGACACTATTTTTGTTACAAATGAAAAACGGGGATTGGGCGGCTGCCCAGGTGACGAGTCTGCGTGTGCAGCCTTGCGCCTACCTGCCTTGCACTAACACCTGCGCCTCTCTGTGAGCCTCCCAGAGTTACCCACTTGTCCAGGGAGCTAGGCTGGGCAAGCCGTTTTATGCCCAAGATGGAAGGGACTTATTTTCTCTGTAACAAGTCGGTTTCCAATCCGCCAAGTATTAACTTTCCAATATTAATTACCGTTTTTCATTAAAGAAGTTGAGTTATGAATTACCTAAAAGAAAATACACAGATCCTATCGTCAGGTCCATCAAGTTATGAAAACTGTATGTAATCACTGCCCCGAAGAGATGTAGAACATATCCACTGTAGCAGCCCACTCTTTTTAAAAAACAGGTGAGAAATTGACACAGTGCTTGGCGGCTTTTCTTTTTTTTTTTTCAGATATTTCTGATGAAAAAAACGGTCTGCTATGAACTTACCTATTTTATAAGTCACCAGCGTAATGTATCACATTGGCTAATGACATCTGCGTTATGTGTGAGCAATGTTTTTGCCTTGTTTGACACAGTTGTACTTTTAATGAAAAAGTATTAAAAAAATCATCGCTGAAATAATCATATAAATTATTCCCTTTGCAATGGGAAATTGAGCAGTATACCCTTCAAAAAATACTTGAAGTATCCAACTAAATCTCCTACATCAGGCATTTTAATCTGTCAATATGTATTTACTGTAGCCATCAATTAATGGCTATTCAGGCAGGAAGCTATGCACATCTTCCCTTTTTAAGAACTCTGCTGGAAAGTCAGTGAATCCTGGAGAAGAGGATGTAACAGTAATTTCTGGACCACAGTGTTCCTACTGAGAATCTGGGCACTCCTCTTCTTTTATCCTTAAGCTTAATTAATTTTCTTACTTAGCTTACTTATTTACTTACAGGGTCTGGCTCTCACCCAGGCTGCAGTGCAGTGGCACTGACATAGCTCTCTGTAACCTTGAATGCTTGAACTCAAGAGATTCAGGTGATCCTCCTGCTTTGGTTTCCCAAAGTGCTAGGATCACAGGCCTGAAACACCATGCCTGTCTGCGATAAACTTTTTAACTCCCACTTATGAATGAGAATATATGATATTTGTCTTTCTGTGCCTGGATTATTTCACTTAGCATAATAAACTCTAGTTCTATTCACGTTGCTGCAAATGACATGATTTCATTATTTTTTATGGCCAAATAGTATTTTATTGTGTGTATATATCCCATTTTCTTTATCCATTTGTTTGTTCATGGACTTTTGGTTGATTTCATATCTTTTCTATTGTGAATAATGTTACAATAAACTTGCAGGTGCAGTTATCTCTTTGATATACAAATAGTAGTGGGATTGCTAGATTATATGGTAGTTCTATTTGTGTGTGTGTGTGTGTGTGTGTGTGTGTGTATGTATTTTAGAAATCTCTGTACTATTTTCCATAGTGGTTGTACTAATTCACATTCCCACCAACCGTGTATGAGAGTTCCCTTTTCTCTACATCCTCTCCAGCATCTGTTATTTTCTTTTTAATAACAGCTCTTTTAACTGGGGTAAGATTAAGAATTATGGTTTTGATATGCATTTCCCTGATGATTAGTGATGTTGAGCATTTTTTCATATGTTTGTTGGCCATTTGTATGTCTTCTTTTGAGAATTGTCTATTCATGTTCTTTACCCGCTTTTTGATGGGATTATTTGTGTTTTGTCTTGTTGAGTTCCTTGTATGTTCTAGATATTAGTCTCTTGTCAGATGAATAGTTTGCAAAGATTTTCTTCTGTTCAACGGATGCCTCTTCACTCTGTTGATTGTTCCATCTGCTGTGCAGAAGCTTTTTTGTTTAACATAGTCCAATTTGTCTGTTTTTATTTTAGTTGTATGTGTGTTTCAGGTCTTGACCATAAAATCTTTTCCTAAACCAATGTCCTTATGTATTTTACCTGTATTTTCTAGTAGTTTAAGGTCTTATGTTTAGTCCTTCTTGAGTTGGATTTTGTATATGATGAGAGACAGGGTCCAGTTTCATTAGCTTTTTTTCAAAAAAATTAAACTTTCACTTGCACTTTTCTTTTGTTGTTTAAAGCCAATGTTTGCAATAATTTGTTATTCAGTCTTATAAAATTCAGCACTTTTCTTCTTGATTTCATTTAATCAATTGCCAAGCTCCTGATTTGGCAGATGAAGAAATGGGCCGAATGATTTAAAAGTAAGGCAACTTGCATAGGGTCATACCAGGAGATGCTAGAAGAAGAATACAAATAGAAGGTGGATAGTGACTATGTTTTAGATGAGATAAAATTGAGGTAATTGTGGTATATCTAGGTAGAGGAACCTATAGATAGTTAGATATATTTTTTGGTTGGGCGTGGTGGCCCATGCCCGTAATCCCAGCACTTTGGGAGGCTGATGCAGGAGGATCACTTGAGGTCAGAAGTTTGAGACTAGCCTGGCCAATATGCTGAAACCGTCTCTACTAAAAATAAAAAAATTAGCCTGGTGTGGTGGTGGGTGCCTGTAATCCCAGCTGCTTGGCAGGTTGAGGTAGGAGAATCACTTGAACCCAGGAGGTAGAGGTTGCAGTGAGCCGAGACTGTGGCACTGCACTCTAGCCTGGGTAAAAGAGTGAGACTCTGTCTAAAAAAAAAAAAAAAAAAAAAAAAGAAAGGAAAAGAAAAAAGAAAAAGAAGAATTTATTTTTTGAGCTCAGAAGAGAGACCTAGGAGAGAGCTACAGATACAAAATTAAGTCTTTGTGAATATATTTAGAAATACGATTGAAGTTAAGTTCCTCTCCAAGAAATAAGATCAAAGATATTTACGTTCTGTTCAGTTACATTTACAATAATTTATTATCTATTTACAACATGCAAAGTATTGTTGCAGACATATTGAGGGCATGTTAAAAATGAGTAAGATAATCTTTGCTTTCTACAGGGACATAATCATGAAGGAGATACTTTAAAGTATATGTGGGGCCAGGCATGGTGGCTCATGCCTGTAATCTTAGCACTGTTGTGAGGCTGAGCCTGGAGGAGTGCTTGAGCCCAGGAGTTCGAGGTTATAGAGTGCTATGATTGTGCCACTGCACTCCAGCCTGAGTGGTGGAGCAAGATCTTGTCTCTTAAAAAGAGCATATATGGGTAATACTAGAAGAAAAGTATAGCGATAGTGATGAGATTGCCAGGAGAAAGGGGAGAATTATATTTACTGTGAAGATCTGGGAGTGCCTAAAGATTGTGGGTTTTGAGCTGATTCTTAAAGGATTGACAGAATTTCATGAGATAGATGGCAGTTATTCTAGACAGTAAGTAACTTGAGCAAAGGCTTTGAAATAGAAGAAAAGTAGTGCTTATTTTGGGAATACAGAATAAGATCTTGGGGAATAAGATTTGAGAAGGTATAAGGTTGAAAAGTAGGTAGGGCTAAGTTAATGATACTTCATTAGAGTATTTCAAATTTAAGAACTTTCTTTTCAAACATGATATGCTATCCATTTGGATATGCTGTGAGGCGAATTGTATTTTCTTGACTTTTTTGAGAAATACAGTGAAAGCTTGGAACCAAGTCAGCCTATGAAAGGACCTATGCTATTTCTTCCTCTCAATGAGATAGTTATAAAAGGGTGTACTGTATTCACAATGACACAGACTGTTATCACTAGATTAGACAATGCCACATGTGACTAACAGCTGATTTCAGTTTCATTTTAGTATTCGATCTTAAAGGTTTACACATTCTTTAACTATACTTGTTTTTAGTGAAAAAGAAGTAAAATATTCCTAGATGAAGATTTTTCCAGAAGGACTTTGAGTCAAAGAAGGCTTTTCATATTTGACAAGTAAGTCTATATTTTATATGTGTTAAATTTGGTTGACAGGTGAAAGTTTCCTAGTTTTAATTTCTTTAAATATCTGGTTTATCTCAGATAGTTGTACAGCGGGCAGAAGTTAGGTATTTTGTATGGCAGCCAGGTAGCCACATAGCTAGGGTTGATCTTTGGAATTGAATTGAAAGTGTCTGTGTTAAGCCATTCTTGCATTGCTATAAAGAAATACTTGAGACTAGGTAATTTATAAGAAACGAAGGCCAGGTGGGGTGGCTCATGTCTGTAATCCCAGCACTCTGAGAGGCCTAGGAGAGTGGATTACTTGAGGTCAGGAGTTCGAAACCAGCCTGCCCAACATAGTGAAACCCCATCTCTACTAAAAATATACAAAAATTAACCAGGCCTCGTGACGAGTGCCTGTAATCCCAGCTACTTGTGAGGCTGAGGCAGGAGAATCACTTGAACCCCAGAGGTGGAGGTTGCGGTGAGCTGAGATCGCGCCATCGCATTCCAAGCTGGGCGACAGAGTGAGACTCTGTCTCAAAAAAAAGAGGTTTAATTGGCTTGTAGTTCTTCATGGTTCAGGAAGCATAGCAACAGTATCTGCTTCTGACAAGGCCTCAGGAATCTTCCAATTTTGACAGAAGATGAAGAGGGAGGAAGTCATCTCACATGTTGAGAGCAGGAGCTATAGAGAGAGGTGCGGAGTAGTGCCACACTTAACAACAACCAGCTTTCATGAGAACTGACTCACTATTGGACAGCACCAAGACATCAGGGACGACCTAGACACCTCCCACTTGGCCCCACCTGAACATTGGGGATTACAATTCAACATGAGGTTTGGTGGGGACAAACTATATCATTCTGCCCCTGGCCTCCCAAATTTCATGGCCTTCTCACATTGCAAAATACAATCATGCCTCCCCAATAATCCTTCAAAGTTTTAACTCATTGCAACATTAATTCAGAAGTCCCAAGTCCCTGGTCTCATTTGGGAATGAGTTTCTTTTACCTATGAACCTGTAAAATAAAAACAAGTTATTTACTTCCAAGATAGTATTGGGCAAACATGTCCATTCCAAAATGGAGAAATCTGCCAAAAGAAAGGGGCTACAGGCCCTACACAAGTTTGAAACTCAGCAGGACAGTCATTACATCTTAAAGCTGAAAAATAATCTCCTTTGATTCCACACCCCATATCCCATGCACACTAGTGCGGGTGGTGGGCTCCCAGGGCCTTGAGCAGCTTCGTCCCTGTGGCTTTGCAGAATTCACTTTCATGGCTGCTTTCACAGGTTGTTGAGTGACTGTGGCTTTTCCAGGTGCAGGGTGTAAGCTGTTGGTAGCTCTGTCATTCTGGAGTTTGGAGGACAGTAGCCCCTTCTTACAGCTCCACGCCCTAGTGGGAATTCTGTGTGAGCCTCCAACCTCACATTTTCCTTTCATATTGCCCCAGTAGCAGTTCTCTGTGAGGGCTCTGTCCCTGCAGCAGGCTTCTGCTTGGGTACCCAGGCTTTTCCATATGTCCTCTGAAATCTAGGGGGAGGTTGCCAAGCCTCCTTCACTTTTACACTCTGCCTACCTACAGGCTTACCACATGGAAGCCACCAAGATTTATGGCTTTTGCCCTCCTGTGCAGTGGCCCAAGCTGTAACTTGGCCCCTTTGACCCATAGCTGGAGCCAGAGTGGCAAGGATGCATGGAGCAGTGTCCTGGGGTGGCACAGAGCAGTGGTGCCCTGTGCCTGGCCCCTGAGACCCAGTCCTCCTGGGTTTCAGGGCCTGTGATGGGCAGGGCTGCCCTGAAGATCTCTGAAACGAATTGGAGGCCCTTTTCCCATCGTCTTGGATATTAGCAGTTGGCTCCCTTTTAGTTATGCAAATATTTTTAGCAAGTGGTTGCTCTACAGCCGCATTGAAGTCCTCTTCTGAAGAAGCTTTTTCTTTCTCTCTCACCTGGCCAGGCTGCAAATTTTTTAAACTTTTATGCTCTGCTTCCTGTTTAAATGTAAATTCAAATTTTAAGTCATTTCCTTGCTCCCACATCTGGGCATAGGTTGTTAGAAGCAGCCAGTCCACATCTTGAATGCCTTGAAAACTCAGTTTTTAAAATGTTTTTTTTCCTATCATGTTGGCCATAACATTCTTGACGGGAGAAACAGTGATCATAACTGTTATTCTGTGAGAAGAATGAAATACCTTTTTCTATTATTCGGAAGACTTTTTAACAAAATATTTATAAGTGATAAAACGATAAGAAAGCAATAAGTATTAGTTTGTGTATGTGTTTTTAGTAAACATTCTCCTTGGTGTGTTTAAAGCAACAAATATTCTTTATAGAAATATAGTATGTTGATTGGTCTGGCTCCCATTGCAGACCACAGACTTGTTAGCTTAAACAATAGAAATCTATTTTTCAACAGTTCTGGAGACTGGAAGTCCAAGATCGATGTGCCAGCAGGGTTGGTTTCTGGTAAGTTTCTCTCTCCTTGGGTTATACTGGCTGCCCTCTTGTGTCTTTACATGGCCTTTCCTCTGGTGTTGCTTCCTCTTCTTGTAAGAACACTAGTCCTATTGGATCAGGGCCACAGAGCTCATTTATCCCTGCTTACCTTTGAGATCATACCATAGTACTCTTTCACTCAACATTATATGAAGTAAAGTCAGAGATCGCAAACTCATATGCTTACAGAGGCCAGGCAAGCAGTCAGCAAGGTAATAATGACAACTAACATTTGTTGACCCCTAACTGTGTGCAAAGACCTTTTCTAGGGGTTTATATGTATTACATGTATTATCTTTCTTAACCTTCACAATAACCCTATAAGGTATATACCTTTATTCTCTCCACATTTTAAATGAAGAAAATAAGGCATAAGGCTGAAAAAAACACATTTAAGGACACACAGCTGGTAGGTAGCTCTATTAGCTTTGAGACCCAGCTGTTGAAATGACTGAAATGGGCGAAATGGCTACTGTGATGAACAGGAGAGAGTATACCCATCTAAAGCAACTGCTCATGAAGGAGTAGTCTAGTATAGAAGATCTTTTTGTTTTTTGATAGTAGTCAGACATTTGCATTTTTTGTGAAATGTTGACAGTTAATTAGGAAAACCAAAAAACCACCATTGAGTCAGATATTGTATACAGATTGTATTCATTCAGAGTATGTTTATAAAATAGTGATAATAATAGTAGAATCTATATTTTAAGTGATAGAAGAATTAAATTGGGGCATTTTATATACAACATTCTGCTCAGTGCTTGGCAGGTAGTGGTAAGTACATGTTAGTTTTTATTAATAGCATAAACATTATCTCCAGTCATTGAAATTCTTCATAAGTATCATTTACTATTGTTTTTATTTAAAAAATTATATACCTAACAACATCAGTACAGGTCCGTTTGAAAAAAAAAAAAAAAAAAAACCTCAAAAAATATAGAGATATGGAGAGAAAACAACTGAAGTTGCATTTGCTTCTTACTCTCAATACCCTTTCTCTCTATATATATAATTAAAAATCATAAATGTTATACAGTATTTATCTTTCTGGGATTTGTTTTTTTCACTTAATACATCTTGAAGATCTAAGTGAGTTTATGCAAAGCTACTTCACTCTTTTTAAAGGCTTCATGGTGTATTCTTTAATATGGATGTACCATAATCTATTGAACTAGGCCTCTCAGTTGTCATTTAGGTAGTTTTCAATATTTCACTCTTATAAAAAAAGGTTCTGCAAAGATTATCTTTTTGTACATTTTTGAATATTTCCTTAGGATAGAAATCTAGATGGAATTGCTGGGCCAAAAGCATATTACAAATTTTTATAATGATTGTAACTTTGTTACATATATTTTAGTAGCTTTGTAATATTCCATTTTATGAATCTACCTTTATTTACTTTATCATTTCCTTATGTTGAAACATTTAGGTTGTTTCCAATTTGCCACTATAAGTAGTCCTGTTGTAAATATTTTTGTGCATAGGTCATATTTTTGAAACATAAATATCCTGAGAGGAAGTTATCAACTATCAAGTATATTTCTGAGACTTTCCCAAAGCTATTACGAGAACTGTATTTAGTGGTAATATATTATCATTAGAAAAAGTAGAGCTTTGATAAAATCATTGCCTAATGCTTTTGATATTATACTTAAGATATTTTAGAACTGAAATATATGTTTCATTTTAGGTCTTGTCATCTGTAATGAAGATCACTGTGAAACAGAAGATTGAATAAAGCCTTGTAACATTGGACCTAGATTAGAAATTTAGAAAAGAAAGTCAGTCACATTGGTGTTAGTGTTCCAATTTCATAATATTTATTTTTTCTTCTAAATAGATTTAGGGAGTAGAAATTAAAATTCAGTGCTATACCAAATGATATACTAATATTTGTTTGGCTTTTTTTTTTCCTTTTTGTGAGAGAGAAAAAAGTAGATAACAAAAAGCCATAGTCATTCATAATGAAATATAGTAAGCAGAATTTTATGATGTCAGTTCTTGGCATTATAATATATATAACTGATTTAATTGTGGACATATGGGTATCCGTCAGATTTTTCCATGAAGGACAGTATGTTTTTAGTGTTTTAGCATTAAGCTTTATGCTTTTTGGAACACTTGTGGTTCAGTGTTTTAGTTATTCTTGGTTCAAGGCTGATTTAAAGAAAGGAGGCCAAGAAAGTCAGCATTGTTTTCTTCTACTTCATTGCTTGCAAGGAGGAATTTTTACAAGGTGAGCATATATGTTTAATTATTACCACTGTTTTTCTTTTATCCAAACAGAAGCTACCTTTTTGTATCTGGGTAGTCAAATGTTCAAAGATCACTTATTTGCATGAAGCACAAATGTTACTTCCTCTTCACTATTGTGCTTATGTAAGTCATTGCCATACTGTCAAAATTTTCCAGGTTTATTAATAAAGATGTTTTAATTTATCTAATTAATTTACTTTTTCTGACAGATACTCAGTTTTCATTAGAAAGAAAAAGACTTATTTCTATCTCTTACAGAACTTTTATCTTCTGTGTATATTCTAAGTCTGATTGTGTAAATATGATATTTCACTTGTAACTGAGAGAGGACTCATTTTTTTGTTACTTACGATTGATTTAACTAAATGAAGTTTTTGCTGCAATAATACAGTAGCTATGTGATTAGCTACGTACAGAGTCATAGACTGAAATAAAAACAATCTTAAGAATCATGTTATAGGTAGAGAAACTAGAATCAAAATAGGCTCTGAGAAATCCATGATTATCTGTATATTTAATTTTATATGACCTCTCCATTATTACTTAGAGGGATTCCATTTTTGATTCCGTTCTATTAAAAAGCAACAAATTCATGACCCTTAGTTGAATGTATTAAAAAAAATTCCAGGCTTTTCTTATATTAATTAATAGGAATAATGCCATTGTATTTATGTGGAGACCTACAGTTTTCAAAGTGTTTTCACATATTTTGTCTTTTTAAAGCTATAGTTATTACATTTTTAGTATGTAAAAGAAGCAGAATGTGCAATGAGAAAGAAGTTTACAAGTTTTAGGAAAAGCTGGAAAGAAAGTGCTTTAGTTGTTGGTATTGAAAGTCAATTTTTGAACTGCACATTCTCAATAAGATGAAAATGTTTAGAGAAATAGAGTAAAAGTTAGTGCTGAGGACCAAATACATATATAATAGGTAAGATTAAATGAGTATTCTGTATGAGCAATATTGAGAATTATGTAGTTCTAATAGTTCTGAAGAAAGATAAAAGTTACTTGTGCAGTTCTAATTATGTAGTTCTAATATTCTGAAGAAAGATGAAAGTTCAAGGAATTTAGAAATATGGTCAGTTCTCTGTTATTTGCCATTCTAATAATGAAAAACTTGTACATCTGCAGAAATGTTTTCATCAGCATTCAAATGAGGACTTTAAAGTACATTGTGTTATAAATTATAAATTGTATTATAAAAGAAAGGCCAAATTGCCTTGATTTTCAGTGTCTATTGGTATACCTAGTAATTTTTGATTGAATATTATGCATTGTATATAAAAGATCATAGAAGTTCCAAATGCTACTATTTTTCTTTTTCTCTGGCAGGCATTTAGACTAAGGTTCTTTTGGTTTGTGGTCTCTAGGGAACTGAGAGCCTGGTGTGGTCGTCTCACCTCCACAAATCCCAAACACTAATTTTTATCTTGGCACCAAAAGACTGCCATAAAGCCTGTTTTGCTTTTCCAAGACTTTCTGCTTAGCTTTTAGCCTCTATGTTATAGTTCCAAATTTTGGCATGTGTGTTGTTGGAAAAACTGATTCAGTCTTTCCTCATTCAACAGCCTTGCAAGACCTCTAAAACCTAGCTAGTTTCCTTCTTGCCTAACAATAGCCCTTTGCTTGGAGAAAATCCAGGTTTTCAACCTCTTGTTCTTAGTCATAGAATCAGCAAATATTTTCAGACAAAAAGCATTTATAGATACATCAGCCCGGTTTATAGTTTCTCTAGTTGCCTTAGTAGGAGCGTTGGTCTGTTCCAATATACTGTATCCCACCTAGAAGTCTAGTGCGTAATGTGCGGTCTTAAATTGTTCCAAGTATAAAGTAAAACAAAACCTTTGTTGTTAACATTGATAATTTAAAGACCTCAAAACACTAGAATTCCGTTTACTATGCTCCCAACTAATACATTGCTGGCATTTTAATGCCTGTTTTTACCCCAACTAGATGATTATATTATTATGTATTTTTCTACTTTATGTAGTCAAATTTGATTAAATTTTGTTTTATGTTTACCCATGTATTTACTACTATGCATATTTTTTATTTCTTCTGGAATCTCTGGACTTCTATCTAGAATTACTTTTCTTTTTTTTTTGAGATGGGCCTTGCTCTGTTACCCAGGCTGGCATGAAGTGGCACCTTCCTGGCTCATTGCAGCTTCTGCCTCCTGGGTTCAAGAGATTCTCCTGCCTCAGCTTCCTGAGTAGCCTGGATTACAGGCATGTGCTACCACACTTGATTAATTTTTGTATTTTTAGTAGAGATGGGATTTCATCATGTTGGCCAGGCTGGTCTTGAACGTTAAGTGATCCACCCCCCTTGGCCTCCTAAAGTGCTGGGATTGCAGATGTGAGCCACCGCATCTGGACCTATAATTACTTTTCTTCTGCCTTCCTGAGGTCTTCCCTTTAGAATTTCATCTTTTGAGGGTCTGTTTCACCTCTCAATTTTTGGTTGTTTGAAAATGTCTTTATTTCATTATCTTTCTTGAGAGACATTTTAGTGGCTATAGAATTCTAGATGAGCAGTTATTTTCTCTCTGCATATTATATTCTATTGCTTTTTGGTTTCCTTTGTTGCTCTGGAGGAGTTAGATGTTAGTCATATTACTGCTTTTTGAAAGTGGTTTGTCTTTTCCTCCTCTGGCTGCTCTTAAGATTTTTCTCCTTATCTGTGGGTTTCTACAGTTTAATTATATGTTTAGATGTAGATTTTATTTCGCTTGCTTAGGATTTGCTGGTCCTCTTGATCCTGTGGACTATTATCTTCCATCAGTTCTATACAATTCTCACCAATTATATTTTTTAACATTTTCTTTACTATGTTTTGTGTTTCTTTCCCTTCTGGGATGCCAATTAAATGTAAGTTATATCTTCTCACTGTGTTTAACATGACTATTATGTTAAATTTTAAAAGTTCTTATTTTTTAACTCTCTCTGATACATTCTATGGAATGTAATAATCCTAATTTCTCCATCTCAATCCTTATATCATTGCTATCATTCATTTCACTTATACATAAGTATGCATAAGCATATAAACATACACACATAAGTATATATAATCATATATATTGTTGTACTATTTTGAACCAACTGTTATCTGTTAGATCAATTAAAAATAAGAAAAATAAGTTTTTATTTATCTTCAAGTATTCCTTCTTCAGTACTCTTCCTTTATATATTAATAGATTTAAGTTTCTGACCTGTAACATTTTCCTTTTCTTTGAAGAATCAATTTTAACGTATCTTACAAGGCAAGCCTACTGGCAACAGATTCCCCCAGTGTTTGTGGAAATCTTTATTCTCCTTCACTTTTGAAGTATAATTTCACAGGGCACAGAATTCAGAATGATGTTTTTCTTTCTTCCTTCTTTTTTTTCTTTTCTCTGAACAGTTTAAATATTTTACTCCATTCTCTCTTTTTTTTTTTTTTTTTTTTTGAGACAGAATCTCACTCTATTGTTCAGGCTGGAGTGCTGCAGTGGTACAGTCACAGTTCACTGCAACCTCTAACTCCCTGGGCTCAGGTGATCCTCCCACTTCAGCCCCACAAGTAGCTGGGACTACAGGTGCATGCCACCACAATGAGCTAATTTTTGTATTTTTTTCTAGTAGAGACAGAATTTCTTTTTTTAGACAGATTCTCACTCTGTCACCCAGGCTGGCATGCAGTGGCATGGTTTGGCTCAGTGCAACCTCCGCCTCCTGGGTTCGAGCAATGCTCTTACCTTGGCCTCTTGAGTAGCTGGGACTACAGGTGTGTACCACCATGCCTGGCCAATTTTTGTATTTTTAGTAGAGATGGGGTTTCACCATGTTGCCCAGGCTAGTTTTAAACTCCTAGGCTCAAGTGATCTGTTTCCTTTGGCCTCTCAAATCCATTTTCTTCTTGCTTGAATGGTTTCTAAGGAGAAATTGAATGTAATTTTTACCTTTACTCCTTTTGGTGTTTTTTCCTCTTTGGCTTCTTTTTTAAAAAAAATTTCAGTTTTAATTATTATGGGTACATAATAGGTGTATTTATTTATGGAGTACGTGTGATGTTTTGATTCAGACATACATAATGTGTGATAATCACCTAAGGGTAATTGGGATATTTATCACCTCAAGTATTTATTATTTTCTTTTGTGTTAGGAACATTCCAATTTCACTCTTAGTTGTTTAAAAATATACAGTAAGTTGTTGTTGACTTTAGTCACTCTGTTGTGTTATCAAATGCTAGAGCCTATTTATTCTAACCAAATTTTTGCACCCATTAACCATCCCCACTTCTACCTGACTCCCTGCTACCCTTCTCAGACTCTGGTAGCTATTATTCTACTCTCTATCTCCATAAGTTTGTTTTAGTTTTTAGCTCCCTTATATGACTGAAAACGTGATATTTGTCTTTGTGTGTGGCCTGGCTCTTTTCCCTTAACATAATGTTCTCCAGTTTCATCCATGTTGCTGCAAATGAAAATGACAGGATTTCTCTCTCTCCCCTCCTCTCCCCTCCCCTCCCCTCCCCTTTGCTTCCCTCCCCTTCCTTCCCCTCCCCCCCTCTTCTTCCTTTCCCTTCTCTCCCCTCCCCTCCCCTTCCCTTCTCTTCCTTTGTTCATTTCTTTTCATAGAGACAGGATCATTATAGCTCATTATAAACTTGAACCCCTGGGCTCAGGTGATCCATCTCAGTCACCTAAATTGCTAGCATTACAGGCATGTGCCATCAGGGCCAGCTAATTTTTAATTTTTTTGTACAGATAGGGTCTCAGTATGTTGCCCTCGAACTCTTGGCCTCCAGTGATCTTCCTACCTTGGCCTCCCAAAGTGCTGGGTTTACAAGCATGCGCCACTGTGCCCAGTCTAGTTCAAAATATTTTTTAGCTTCCCGGTGATTTTGTCTTTTACTAAAGGGTTAGACTATTAAATGTTTTTTGAAATATTTGGGTCTTTTGTAGATATTTTTAATGTTGATTTTTAATTTTTTTG